AGCGGACACAAGCCCGGTTTGGGGGCGTAGGGCTGGCATTGCCCCAAACACTGCAAGACCTCGGGCAGGCGATTCACCTCCGCGCACACCTGAGAGGCACACTTCGCCGCTACTCTCTTCCCCCTTCCACCGGGCCACCGTTCGCAAGGTCAATCGGATCCACTGCACGGGAAAAACGAACGCCCCCCCCGAAGCTCAACAGCGCTTGACGCAAAGAGTGTTGACAATAGGGGATCCCGGCTTGCGCCGACTCCCCCGCGGATAGCTAGTCACGGTTCGGTTCCCTGCCTTCCCCTTCCAAGTCCCCTACCCTCAAGCTCATCGCCCCCCGCTCACCTGGCGTCCCACGAGGCAACGGGCTTACAGACGTACCAGAAAATTCACCGCCGGAGGCCCGACGATACCTCTCCCCGCGGCCACGCGCTCGGCCGCAGCAGTCCCATACAATCGAACCTGGTGCATGTTGCCGCCACCACCCCCATGCACACCTCTGCCCCGACGGTTGGTGCAAGAGTCCGGGGCGCGACCGAAAGTAGACCGGTGCATCCATGCGTGTACCACGCGAACGCGGATGTGAAGGGCGGTGCCGCAGCGGGCAGAGGAGAGTTGGGAAAGCGAGAGAGGGAAGGAAGGGGTAAGAAAGAGTGAGAGGCGAGGGGGCACCAAGGATAGGACACACTATTTCACACTCCAAGAGGAACCAACTAACCGACGGGCTGGAAGGGAGTTCAGCCGCGCCGAAACCACAGACGCACAGCCTCCCTGCTGGAAATATAACACCACCAACACACCACACGTGTCGGCACTGGCACTGAGGTGGTGCTCCACGGGCCGCCCTGCCAACTCCCGTCTGCAATAGTCGGGAGTTGAAACAAGGAGCCTGTACTAGTACTGTACTCCAGCCTGCACGTTTCTCTCACCTCTCCCGTGTCTCTCGCCATGCCTCCCCAAGCCACCGTCGCACACAGCCAATGGCTCGGCAGCCGAACCACAGGAACCAACCTGTCTGTGGGTTAGGGATCGAGCCAACAGGAACAACGGGAAGGTCTCAAAAACACGTGAGGACGGCAATGGCGCCACAGGGTGTCTCCCTCAGCTCAACGCAGATCTCGTCGGTTCGGTTGGTGCTAGTGAAGAGCGCAGATGAACAAGCAGCACGCCCGCTTCGGTCTGTCCGTCGACCAAGGTGACATGAGCGCCAATGCTAACAATGTGACTAGAGAGGTATGATTAGTCTTCTCTCCACGTCCTTACCCGGCGCCGACCAATCCATGCGCCAGCAGTGCAACCGTGGGCAGGAGCACACTTCCCGCGAAGCCCCGTCAACACGGCAGCAACGCACACGGCAAGAGGGGTGTGCCTCGCCACACGACACACGAGACCCGTGCACGTTCTGGGCAAGACACAGCAAGGGCAGCAGTAAAGTTAGTTTGCGACGCAAGGGGAGCGGAAATAGGCTCAGTGCTTGCATGGCAGGTGACAGCGTGATCCTTCGAGGCGCTTCATATTCGAATACGAGCCATTGTTGCCACTCCTCGACAAAGACAATCCGCAGTACTCTCGATGCTCATTGAACATTTCTCATTTCTCGGGGAGGACCTTCCGTATGGACGTTTCCACGAACGATTTCCCCAAACATTGTGTATCTGTGTACTTCCTGTTTCCTCTCTCTCGCCACCATCTAGTGGGGCGGGAGCAGAAAATGGAGACAGGTGTAACAATGCACGCCAACCAATCAACATCGAACCTCGACAGCAATGTGTTCTGCTACAGTGCTGGACGCGGAAAAGACGGGAAACGGAGAAGAAAACAAGCACCTGTCTGTTTCCACCGGTAAGATATCTCCGTTGGGCATGCGGTTGAAACCTGGGCAGGGCAAAAGCCACTCCGTCGATTCGGGAACGACCCCACGGGAGGGGGCAGGTCCACGGCAGACCCAACCCAGAGAAGCATCATAAATCCTAATCTACTTCGGAATGCACCATGCAAGAACGCACACAGTATAGTTGATACCCTATCGACTCGCCCCCAACCTGTGCCTTCCTCAACCCAGCACACGCGCCACAGCAGCAGTAACCATTCTCAATCAACACACCGAACAACCAACACGGCCGTCCTTACCTCGCAGCAAATGGCGACAACCAGCAGCACCACCAGCGAGTCCCACCGACAAGCCCCCAACACCAACCCATCGCCATCGACGGGATGGCATTCCAAACACACGCCGCCGCAAAGCACGCGCGTGACTGGATGAGAATGTCGACACCCAGGCCTGCGTTGCAGAGGGGAAAAGGCAAAGACGAATGATCGTGCTTGTATCGGATGATAAAGGGCCACGAAAGACACCCGGCACGACAGAGGCAAGCCGTAAGCGGCAGGAGAAACAAAACTGCACCAGATCATCTCCACACACACACACACGAGACGAAACACGACTGCGGTAACCTCAATCGTACCTCAATAGCACAGGCGACGACCACCGGTAGCAGCACCGGTTCCACCTCGTGCTCCCCCCCACAGACCAGAGGCGGTAGTGGAAACACACGCCAACCATCGCAGGACACGGCAGCTCTCTCCGCGACAACACCAAGCTGCCGCCCGACACCACATAACACCGACGTCCGCCGGGTGCGTGGATGAATCGATGGATGGTATGGTTTCGGCCTCTGAATCTGATCCGCGCATGCGTGGAAGGATGAGGCAGCGGGGATTAAACAAGGAGGGGATAATATTCGAGACGATACGTGATCGGGAGTCGGGAGCCAGCCGTTGCACACCAACAACAGTCATCGTTGCACATGCACAACAACAGACACGTCCTTGCACTGCTCTCGAGACGGCATCTACATAGCGTCAACTCTGGAGATACTTGCACACGCTCCTATGACGACACAGGACGCGTGCACGCCTGAAAACGTCCCATCTACGGTTGTAGCATTGCTTTCTGGCGAGGCTCTAACGAGCAGCAGCAGCAGCACCAGCACCAGCACCAGCACGCGACAGCGCATCTTCACCGTCAAACAACCGATATCACTTCCGCAGTCTACGATAGAAATACCCTTCAACAGCAGCAAAGCGCTGGCATACAAGTCGGCACGGCTACTTCTCACCTGCTGGCTTGTCATCTACGACGACCCCCACAGCCAGTCCCACCGACAAGCCCCCAACACCAACCCATCGCCATCGACGGGATGGCATTCTAAACACACGCCGCCGCAAAGCACGCGCGAGACTGGATGAGAATGTCGACACCCAGGCCTGCGTTGCAGAGGGGAAAAGGCAAAGACAAATGATCGTGCTTGTATCGGATGATAAAGGGCCACGAAAGACACCCGGCACGACAGAGGCAAGCCGTAAGCGGCAGGAGAAACAAAACTGCACCAGATCATCTCCACACACACACACACGAGACGAAACACGACTGCGGTAACCTCAATCGTACCTCAATAGCACAGGCGACGACCACCGGTAGCAGCACCGGTTCCACCTCGTGCTCCCCCCCACAGACCAGAGGCGGTAGTGGAAACACAATACCAACCATCGCAGGACACGGCAGCTCTCTCCGCGACAACACCAAGCTGCCGCCCGACACCACATAACACCGACGTCCGCCGGGTGCGTGGATGAACCGATGGATGGTATGGTCTCGGCCTCTGAATCTGATGAACGCATGCGTGAAAGGATGAGGCAGCGGGGATTAAACAAGGAGGGGATAATATTCGAGACGATACGTGATCGGGAGTCGGGAGCCAGCCGTTGCACACCAACAACAGTCATCGTTGCACATGCACAACAACAGACACGTCCTTGCACTGCTCTCGCGACGGCATCTACATAGCGTCAACTCTGGAGATACTTGCACACGCTCCTATGACGACACAGGACGCGTGCACGCCTGAAAACGTCCCATCTACGGTTGTAGCATTGCTTTCTAGCGAGGCTCTAACGAGCAGCAGCACCAGCACCAGCACCAGCACCAGCAGCAGCAGCAGCAGCAGCACGCGACAGCGCATCTTCACCGTCAAACAACCGATATCACTTCCGCAGTCTACGATGGGAATACCCTTCAGCAGCAGCAAAGCGCTCGCATACAAGTCGGCACGGCTAGGTTTTCACCTGCTGGCTTGTCATGTACGACATCCTCCCCAGGCCCTTGAAATGTTCCGGCGAAAGCCGGCACTTCGACCTCTCGACTGCTTCTCCCGCACAGCTGCCGTTCGCCCGCACTCCTATCCCCACCACCACCAAGACACGGGCAGTCTGAACGACCAACTCGCCCCCAGCTCGCCTCCTCTATCAAGCACACGCACACGCACACCCATGCCTTGTGCGCATGATATCCCCCGCTCCAAGGCCGAGCCAAAAAACGATAAATACTCGCGAACGAGAAGAGCAAAAAACAAAACAAAAACTCCGCGCCTTCCTCTTCTGTGTGACTTGTCCGTAGAAGGCGGTAAGAACGAGGATCCCCTTCGTGTAGCCTCCGGGGTAAGACTTTACACCGCGTGTCAATTCCTCACAGACAGCACGCGGTAAAATAACTGGTGCATTGGGCTTACACCCCGCCGTTTGATAGGCCGCTGCCGATGCCAGTTGCCGACGCCATCGCAAATACCAAAATAAACAAAAAGAAAAGAACTCATGAGGAGCAACTGCAGATGTCGCCGTATCGAGTGAACACCAAAAACGACATGGCTTCCAACAGCTCTTGCAGCATATCACCCCTCATTCGCCCGGACAGGTGGCCGGTTCTTTTCGTAAATACCCTTCACTCCCCAGGAACGATACCCGGGTCTTCTGGTAAATAAACCCCGCGCAAGGCCAAAAAAAAAAGCTTGGACAGCACGAAAGCAGCCGATTGTGGGCCAGAACGAACCCTCACCACCATCAAGCACAAAAAAAAAAAAAAAGCAAGGCACACCTTGATCACCCAGAGAGAACACACGGAAGACCCAGCCTCCTGTCAAAAAGACAACAGAAGGCCGTGTCCGAACCCGCGTTTACCTGTAGCAGTGGACAGCATCAGCATCGAACGAAAAGGGAGCGGTGTGCGTGAGGCAAGTGTGAGTGAGGACGTGCGTGGATGGGAAGGTGTGCTCATATCAGGCTGACACGACTGGCCAATGCACAGGCGCCCGTCCAAACGATCCGCGCAAACCGCTTCTCTTTTCCAACGGTCCCGGGGACTACCTTACCAGGGGGGCGCGGAAGCGCGCGTCTGTTTGCGCGCAAACAAGATGCCCGACAGGGTTGATAAGAAGGTGTTCGAGCAGCGGGAGACCGGTGCCTCTTGCGAGGTTTCGAGAAAGCAAAGGTCGTCAGCACTCTGCACGACGACAACTACCGGGGACTTCAGAGCATGCATCGGCCGTCTAGAAGTGCCTTGTGTGATGTCAAGTATCCACAAGAACGGGGGGACAGCTGTAGGCCAATTCCCCTAGGAGGCCTATAGTGGCGACTGACTGTGCATGCGTAGGAACTCGACAAGTAGGATTCCAATGTGTCTCCGTGCAAGCACGCTGTATGATGCTACGCCACCACACGCCCACACACCGCACACACCCTCCCAGGTACGCCACGAAAAAACTCCTCAACAGTGAGTGATACGCACGCTCTGGAGTGTGCGCGCCAGAAGTTGCGCCCCTCATCATATGATCTGTTTCAGGCAGCTTGTTTAAAGCACTGAGAAAACGGCGACACACTATTGTAGCGTTTCCCGTTCACTTGTTGCTCCTACCTGGGGGCGGCAGCGGCGGTGCTGCCCTGGGCCCCGTTGTCCCCGCCCGCGGCCGAGGCGCCTCCTCCCGCCTTTCCGCCACCGCCGGTGCCCGGGCGTCCCGACCCCCCCGCCGCCCCGCCGCCCTGGGGTTCAAATCAGTCAGGCGGAACAAACAAAGCCACAAACGAAGTACGGTTGAGGAAGTTGAGGGGGGAAAGCTGATCAGTCCGTGAGACCACATTGTTCTGCAAACGCTATGCGTAAAATGCAAAAAAGTTTGTTCCTGGTCGTGTTCTATTTAACTCAAGGACAAAATCGTGTACAGCATGCTACGAACGGTACCGAGTTAGATTGCAACAGAGATGCCGCGTTTGGTTCGTCCGTTGCACTGTCACTTCTACCCTCGTGGCGCCGCCTACATTACCTGGTCCGTTCCCGCCTCGTCGTTCCCGCCTCCGGCGCGCTTCGTCTCCGCCTTCACCTTGCTCCCCGCCGCCGCCGCCACCGCCGCCACCGCGGCAGGCGCTCCCGCCCCTCGTCCCGAAGCGACCTTCCTCTCCACCCCTCCGCCGCGGCGGGCCCTCTTGATCTCCTTGCCGGACGACTCTGGTGCCGCTACCGCCGCTGCCGATCGCTTCCTCCCTCCGCTCTCCACCCCTCCGCCGCGGCGGGCCCTCTTGGTCTCCTTGCCGGACGACTCTGGTGCCGCTACCGCCGCTGCCGATCGCTTCCTCCCTCCGCTCTCCACTCCTCCGCCGCGGCGGGCCCTCTTGGTCTCCTTGCCGGACGACTCTGGTGCCGCTACCGGCGCTGCCGATCGCCTCCTCCCTCCGGCCGCCGCCTGCCCCATGCCGCTCGTCGTCCTCAACGCGGCGGCCTTCTCGTCCCTCTCCTTGATGCGCGAGCTCCTCCGCACCTGCACATCCTTCACATTGCGCGCGCTGCGCCGAAGGCCGTCCTCGCGCGGCTCGCGGGACTCCGTGGAGAGCTCCTCCCTGCGCCGCTTGGTCCTGGACCTCCCTGACCCTGATCCTCCGCCTCCCTCCTGACCCTGACCCTGACCCTGACCCTGCCCCGCCCCTCCTCCTCCTCCTCCGGCCCCCACTACGCCGGCGTCGCTCCCCGCACCTCTTGCTCCCAGGTCGCACACCCCTCCACCTGCGGAACCCCCAGAGCCTAGCGACTGTGCCCCGAGGCACGCTCGTGAACCGCTTCCGCTGGCACCGCCACCAAAGCCGCCGAGGCGGTGTACACCCCCGGAGCTGCGGCTTGAGCTTGAGGCTCCCGTCCCGGCCCTCGTCGCTCCCTTGCGCCCCAAGATCGCTTCGTTGATATCGTGCCTGCTGCCAGATGCAGACGGCCCCCTCGGTGCACACGATGCGGACACCATCGCCGATGATGAGCCTTGGCGGTTTGAGCTTGACGCTCCCGTCGCACCCGGCGCCGGCGCCGGCGCCGGCGCTGCGCTTGCCGGCGGCCCCGTCTGCATGAGGCCGATGTCGCTGCCATATGCAGCATACCTCGGCGGTGCCGAACCCGAACCCGATCCCGCCGGCGGCTTCACCGCGCTTGCCGCCCCCGCACCCCGAGTGGACGGCTCGGTCGAGGCGCTACCGCCACCGCTGCTGCTGCCCGCACGGGACGCCGCCCTTGCTCCGGACAAGCTGCTGCCGCCACCGCTGCTGGAACCGCCGCCCATGCCATACCCACCCCACCCCATGATGCTGGCACCGCTACCGCTACCGGAGCCGCCGATGCCATACCCGCTCCCGGAGCTGTAGCTGCCGGAGCTCGACCCTCCCAACGCTTCCCTCGCCACTGGCACCCCCATAAACGCGCCGTGGCGGAGGCCGTCGCCGCCAGATGCAGACGGCACGATCGGTGATGCGAACGACCGCCCCGCCGACGCCGAATCCGACCTCGCCGGCGCTCCCATCGACATCATGCCGGGTGGCATTCCTGCATCCCCAAAATACGGCTCGTACGAGGCGCTACCGCCACCCCCGCTGCTGCCGCCCGGAAGGGACGCCGCTCTTGCTCCGGACAAGCTGCTGCCGCCACCGCTGCTGCTGGTACCGCTGCCGGAGCCACCGATGCCGTACCCACCCCCTGAGCTGGAGTTGCTGGAGCTCGATGATCCTGACGCTGCCCTCGCCGCAGGTTGATTCGATGCGCGGAGCCCAAAACCGCCGCCCAATGCGTGGCGTGCACACGATGCGGACACCATCGCCGATGATGAGCCTTGGCGGTTTGAGCTTGACGCTCCCGTCGCACCCGGCGCCGGCGCCAGCGCTGCGCTTGCCGGCGGCCCCGTCTGCATGAGGCCGATGTCGATGCCAAATCCAGCCGGCCCACCGACATACCTCGGGGGTGCCGAACCCGATCCCGCCGGCGGCATCACCGCGCTTACCATCCCCGCACCCCGAGTGGACGGCTCGGTCGAGGCGCTACCGCCACCGCTGCTGCTGGCCGCACGGGATGTGGTGGCCGCGCGGGATGCCATGCTTGAACCGGACATGCTGCTACCGCCACCGCTGCTCACCGCGGCGTGTGAAAGGGTCTCACGCCGCCGCTGCTGCTGCTGCTGCTGCTGCGGGTTCGGCGATACCAGGGCAGCTGCAGGCGGCGGAGCTTCGACAAGCTCGGTCTTCACCGCTTGCAGCCCTGAGCCTCCCCCCGCCACGTTCCCCCCACCAGACCCCGCCCCGGCCGCCGAGTTCGCTGGGGGCAACGACTCCGGTGCTGCCCCGGCCCCCGCCCCGGCCCCGGCCCCCGCCCCGGCCCCCGCTGCCGCGCTTGCCGGCGGCCCCGTCTGCATGAGGCCGATGTCGATGCCAAATCCAGCCGGCCCACCGACATACCTCGGCGGTGCCGAACCCGATCCCGCCGGCGGCATCACCGCGCTTGCCATTCCCGCACCCCGAGTGGACGGCTCGGTCGAGGCGCTACCGCCACCGCTGCTGCTGGCACCGGAGCTCGATGGTCCCGCCGCAGATAGCGCCGCTGTGCGGATCCTAGCGCTGCGGCCTAGCCTAGAAATGGAGCTAAGTCCGAAGTGGCCTCCCGTTGCTCCAAAATACCTCCTCTCAACCGGTGCAGGCAACGTCGCTGTTTCGTGCGAGCCGCTACCGCCACCGCTGCTGCTGGCCGCACGGGATGTGGTGGCCGCGCGGGATGCCGCGCTTGAACCGGACATGCTGCTTCCGCCACCGCTGCTCACCGCGGCGTGTGTAAGGGTCTCACGCCGCCGCCGCTGCTGCTGCTGCTGCTGCGGGTTCGGCGATACCAGGGCAGCTGCAGGCGGCGGAGCTTCGACAAGCTCGGTCTTCACCGCTTGCAGTCCTGAGGCCCCCTCCGCCACGTTCCCCCCACCAGACCCCGCCCCGGCCGCCGAGTTCGCTGGGGGCAACGGCTCTGGTGCTGCCCCCGCCCCCGCCCCGGCCCCGGCCCCCGCCCCGGCCCCCGCTGCCGCGCTTGCCGGCGGCCCCGTCTGCATGAGGCCGATGTCGATGCCAAATCCAGCCGGCCCACCGACATACCTCGGCGGTGCCGAACCCGATCCCGCCGGCGGCATCACCGCGCTTGCCATTCCCGCAACCCGAGTGGACGGCTCGGTCGAGGCGCTACCGCCACCGCTGCTGCTGGCACCGGAGCTCGATGCTACCGATGCTACCCTCGCCGGAGATAGCGTCGCTGTGCGGTGCGTAGCGCTGCGGCCTAGCCTAGAAATGGAGCTAAGTCCGAAGTGGCCTCCCGTTGCTCCAAAATACCTCCTCTCAACCGGTGCAGGCGGCGTCGCTGTTTCGTGCGAGCCGCTCCCGCCATCGCTGCTGCTGGCCGCACGGGATGTGGTGGCCACACGGGATGCCGCGCTTGAACCGGACATGCTGCTTCCGCCACCGCTGCTCACCGCGGCGTGCTGCTGCTGCTGCTGCGGGTTCGGCGATACCAGGGGAGCTGCAGGCGGCGGAGCTTCGACAAGCTCGGTCTTCACCGCTTGCAGTCCAGAGCCCCCCCCCGCCACTTTCCCTCCACCAGACCCCGCCCCGGCCGCCGCCCCCGTCCCCGCCGGCGAGCTTGCTGGGGGCGACGCCTCCGGTGCTGCCCCCGCCCCCGCCCCGGCCCCGGCGCCCGCCGGCGAGCTTGCTGGGGGCAATGCCTCCGGTGAAGCGGGCACTTGGGCACCTCGAGCTGGTTTCCCAACCCCCTTGAGGAACGCCGAGTCGCGTTGCCACCTCTGTTTGACGGGCAACAACGGGACGATGGAGACAATAACCAAACCAAGCAGAGCTCTCTGCTAGAAAAAGCTATTCAGCGGCCAAGTGCAGAATCCAATCCCAATCAACTGTTCTTCTCCACAATGCCTGTCATCTTCAAATCAGCGACTCACTTGCAGTCTTGTGGGACTTGTGGGACTTGTGAGACTTGTGAGACTTGTGGGATTTTGTGGGACTTGTGGGACTTGTGTTCTTCTTGTCATATTTTCTTCTTCACTCGGGAAGGACATACTTCCTGCCCTCCCTCAAGGCCTTTCTACGATGTAGTTCTCCCGAACAATAACTACACTTTGAAGTATATCTGGGGGGAGAAGAACGATCAAGAGGGTGCCTCATCAGGGCCACCAATCTCTCCTTATTCCTGACGCATGACAGGTGCTGCCGCGAAGCCACACACACGTAGCGACTGACACCCGGCCTTTAACACTCTACAAAAGACAGAAATGTTAACACCACTGCTGAAACGAACCGATTTAGGCTACCGCAGACAACAAGAACATTCACAACATTGTTCACTGGGGGGCAAAAAATATCTTCCGAATATGATCTTGATCTGGCTAGTGTCCAAAACAGGCACCAGACCATCCTTCAAAACAAGAATAGCGTTCAACCTCCCATTCGCGCACAAACACCAGATGGGCACTTTTCCGCCTACGCTGGCGGGAAAAAGATGCTCGAAAAACTGACTATTCACTCTCGCGACCTGGGGTGGTCGGGACAACCGAGCCAACAAATGTTGCAGAGAGGGCAAGACTTGAATCAAACCTGGAGAGGCGGAGCCCCCCCGAAAAAAGCAAACAACGGTCAGGCACACCACGGACACAAAAGCACACCGGCACACGCGCTGTCTTGGTCAAGGCTTACCTTGAAAAACCGGCTGTCGCGAACAGAGGTCACGCTCGGGCGGTTGTTCCACGTGACATCCAGCGCAGATACGAGCACTTGGAGGAGATCTGCTCCAAGCACGAGATCAACCAGGCAGGACGGACGCCGCAGGGATGGCAAATAAATAAAAAAAAAAGGGTGCTGCGTGGGCCTTGTTCGTTGCACATGCATGCGACACGACAACGGATCTGGAGGATGCACACGATACGGTTTAACTGCTGCATGTCTTCAAGAGGAGCGGTGGTTCAGGCCCTGATCCGTTTTTCTGGGGTCCCTGTGCAAGACATTCCCGAGGCATCCGTCTTGCGACTGCTGCCTTCATAGGAGGTCGTCGCAAGGCACGCGCCGCTAAGGCCAAGTAGTTAGTCGAGAACCAGTAGGATCAGCCCGCTTGGGAATTGGCGGGGGAGAACAGAGTCAGATAAGCAGCTACAGCGTGGGAGGTGAACGGAGTTGACGCAGGTGGGAGTGAAACCTCGGCCATCGACCTCCGTGTTTTCTCTCTACAAAGACCTCTGTAGCGCTGCGACAGGAGAGATCCTGCGAGCATCGATGACCGTGAGCAGCGCCAGTGATGGCAACACCAAAAAGAAAAAAACGGCGGAGGCGCATTTGGTGATGCACCGGTTTGAAACACTATTGATGTCTGCATCCACACAAACCAACTGTACCCTCATACCAACGTTACATGGCACGGTACGCCCCGCCCTGTCATGTTGTATCCACCTTGTGACACTCACTTTGAGGGGATTTGGCAGCAAAGACAGCACTGACACCACATCATGTTCATGACCCACCTCAACACACTTTGGGGGTCATAATAATATCTCCTGTCACGCCACACCGTAGTCGTTGCTATTTTCTTCCCCCAACGCGAAGAATTGTCCCACCACCAGCTCGGGAAAAAAGAATCCGCCAATCTCACGACCGTAAACAAATACCTCGCCAAGAAAGAAGGTCAAGGTGGACGGCTGAGTTCTCGCTCTCACCTGACCCTGGTTTGGGGCCGGGGGCAGTTTGTCCGAGGCCGTCGCCCATGGCGAAGTACCCGAGACCATCGTAGAGCTTGGTGGCAATGATTCCCACCGCAAACATGTCATTGTGGAAGGGTTTGATCCTTCCACTGCCGGGAGACGGAATTTTGTTCTGCACGGCCAGTCTCTCGAAGGTCTGCCGCACGCGTTGAATGGGGGGGGGGGGGGGATTCGCAGATGAAAACAACCGGGAGGACAAATTACGCAACGTACGTTTTGGTTGGGATGACTGGTAGGTTTCACGATTGCCGTGCACAGCAAAAAAAACATCGCCGTCCCTTGTGTTAAAAAAAAAAAATTGTATGTAAAATACTATAATTCTTGTACCCTCTTGTAGTCAGATACCAGCACGCGCCCCGCCGTCCGCTCAACGACCACATTTTCGTCAAGTCTGGTACCCCCAAACTGGAAGCATCAAAAAGGTTGAATGTGTACCCTTCATCCTGCACCCTACACACCGCCATGAGGATGCCGGAGCGGGAGCGGGGTGGGGAGGTCGAGGCGTTTCTCTACAATAGCGAGGCGAAAAACGCGAAAAAACACAAGGGCTTGCAAGAGCAGAATCGGTGAGTTGCGGCAACGGAAAATAGGAGCGGTTCTGTGCGGTGGCGTGTCACCACCACCTTGTCATCCTCGAGGACTTGCTTAAAGCGAGGAATTTTCGTAGAATCGTGAACAGCGGGAGTGCTGTCTTTTCTCTGTTCGTGTGTACATATCCATGAGTCACACTATTTTGGGCGAGGAGGATGTGCCTACGAAAGCTCGTCGATTGTGGCTAGGTTTCAGGAGGAGAGGAGGGGTGAGAAAAAATCCACAGCGGACAACAAGAACACAAACATATTAGAAGCGAATCGCGGACGGGTGACGCTGGAGTCACCCCGCTGCTTGATCCAGGTAGCCACATACTGTTCTGCAGCGCTGAAATGTGAAATGTTCTGTGATACAACGTCAACCCCATCATCAATCACGTGTTGAGCTAGCACCGCCAAAATTAAATGGTCAACAACATCAAAACCCCCGTACCCTCCCCTCCCCATCGGATACCGAAAAAAAAAGCTATCACAAGGAACGTCCTCAGACCACGTGCATGCGTGCTCAAGAGAGCACAGGAAATCATTGGACGACATGCCAAGCGAACATAGAGGTGGGACAGCCAGCCGTACGGGCAGAGCGAAAAAGCGCAACATTCGAACCGTGCAAGGGCGCCCGAAAAGAAATTATCCGACACCTATGCATACGTACCCATTTTTGTATTTGGGAGGTTTTCGGAGGGGGGGGTATCGGTACTCTAATTCCTATAAAAACAAAGGGGGCCCGCGGTGGGGAACCCATTTTTATTTTGGGTACACCCCATTGCGCGAGCTAATATCCTCTCCTGCGAACCCCGGACCCATGATGACACAAAACCGGTGTACAGAGTAACACATCGAGAGCACTCAAAGTATGCGTACAACATCGTCACCAGTAGAACATCATGTGTCCCGCACATGCAGCTTGCGTTAAGTGCTCCAAGCCCCATGAGAATCAAAAAGCCGACAAAAACTTCGGCCTGGTACCTAGGTGTGCGGGATGAATTTGTACGGGCACCCTCTTGAACCGTGGAGACTTCTACAGGCAGGCAGAAGAGCACCAAGAACAAGGGTCAAAATACCTGTGCGGAAATCACCGCATTCTGTTTTCGAGCCCTTACCCTCACGAATCCGTTCACCGACAACGCAGAAAGTTTGGAGTCAGCCGGGTTTGAGATTCCAATTTGTAACCACCTCTTCCTTGGGAGGATTAGAGGCTGCGAAAAAAAAACACCCCCACCCCTTGGTCCCCCCCAGCTTGGGTTTGGGTTTTCATCGCTTGGCAACGACGCTGTAAAAAAAGCCGTCCCCTCAGGTGTTTGCCACGGGGTTGGGTTTTCGTCGCTTGGCAGCGATGTTGTAAAACAAGCCGATCACTTCGTGAACTCGGCAACCAGGTTACCGAGTGTTTTTTTACCTTCTTTTTTTTTTGCGGTAACCATGAATGGTGGTCGAGTAGATCATGTTGTGCGGGGTCGAGAACCCTCACTCCGCGCAAGGGGGATAATCGCACCACGTTGTGTTAAAATCGGTCAAGCACCCTCGAGGCAGTTACACAAGCACACGCAGCTGTCATCCGCACGCAAGGAAGTAAGCACAAGATGCCGAACACCCTTAGCAGGATGCAGCGCACCCTTCATGCGACTCGCCGAATGACTCACGGCGCTTTACGCTCGGTGATGTGAGAGCCTGGTCCGGCGAGAACCCGGCGTGCTCCGTCCCGGCTTTGTAGGGGTGCGAGGTCAATGGTCTATCGACTACGGTATGCACGACGATGAGTGCACCCCCTCCCCCCATCGGGGTTGGGATTTGTCGCCGCGTGGCAACAACGTTGTAAAGCACGCCCATCGCTTCGTGAGCTTTACAACCAGGGTACGGCTTTTTGTAGAATATGCCTTTGGTTTCCTTTTTGCGGTAACCACAATGGTGGTCGAGTAGATAATGTTGTGCGGGGCCGAGAACCCCCACTCCGCGCAAAGGGTTGATCATCGCACCACGTTGTGTTAAATTGGCGCAAGCACCCCGGGAGGCAGTACACTATGTTAACAACTGTATCTGGAAGTGAAAGCACGAGAAAATAGAATAAACTATTCGCAGCTGTCAGCCGTATGCAAGGAAGAGACGTTCAACACCCAAACACCGCTTCCTATAGGGAGCACCAAGTTGCCAAATACGTCGGAGTTCCCAAACATTTTTGCAACGTTTCTCGAGTACGCTCAATATGGGAGCAAAAAGCTGCGATCTGGAGAAAAGTTCTACAGCTTCTTTCGCGACGAAGTGCCGAACAAAAGTTGTGCGGCGAGACTTCCGCCAATCCACGTCAGGCTGCTACCCCTACTGCACACGTAAACCCTCTCCAGCATCGATTGTGGGAACGCTGTGATCACCGATATGTCGACGAATACCAAACGAGATGCCTCATGAATGGTATCTGAAAGGAGGTGATGCCATGGGCTGTTGGGCAATGCCAAGGTTTGGGGCCGTGAGGTGCCGCATGCGCCAGGAAAAAACGTTTCTGCGGACGCACTACCGTCAACGGCCACGAGCGGTTAGTTCAAGCTCGATGTTTTCGACCGCCACGAGTTTGGTTATCCACCGACAACTTTCCGAGGGAGGAAGCAACAGCAATAGCAAGGATACTCGGCCGGAGGTAGCTCTCTGCTCCATCTTTTCATGCCCAACGTTTGGTGCCGTGGGGTATTGTGCGCATCGGGAAAAAAATATTGATCGACCCTAAAGTACCCACGTCAGAGAGCGGTTGGTTAAAGTTTGCAGCCGTTGTGTGCTCAAGGTTTGGTTTTCCAGCGATAACTTTTCGAAGGAGGAGGCCACAGCAACAGCAATGCCACCCCGAGGGAGCTAGCTCTACACAGCATCTTTCTGGTACCAGGTTCGATGCCTTGGGGTATCGTGAGTATGGAGAAAAAAGGTTGCAACCACCCTCTCCCGCACGCTCTGACCGGTTCTTTCGCGCTGCGATATGAAAAGCGCGTGCCTTGTTCTCGCCGTTGCAAAAAAAAAAAAAAAACACGCCTCCGCATTCCGCCAGTCCCTAAACTTTCCTTGTCCCATAATGAGCGTGCACAAAAAGTTGCAGAAAACGTTTGCAGCTTTTCTTGCAACATTGCGGAGCCATAAAAAGCGGTGTCAGGGTGCAGCGCACCCTCTCCATGCGACTCGTCGAATACCTCACGGTGCTTCGCGCTTGGTGATGTGCTGTCAGAGCCTGGTCCAGTGAGATCCCGGCGTGCTTCGTCCCGGCGATGTAGGGAAGCGAGGCCAATGGCCTAACGACTACGGCATGCACGGGCACGGCTATGAATAGACCCCACCTCCCCTCCGATTGGAATAGCTTGGAATAGGTTGGAGAATAGGGTAGCTAACTGGAGCACACGTACGAAGTGGGGTAAAAAGGCGGGAAGTGAAAACTGATAGGATAGGGTAGATGGGCTAGGGATGACATTTTTGGGCCACCTTTGGCAATATAGAAAGGAACGATTGGCCATCGGTGATCGGTCCTGTGGGAACAATATTGCTCCGCCCTCTCGCGGACGCGTGGTGAATGGTCTAAACGTTGCAGGCATGACAAACACCAGTACCCCCCCCCCCCCCCTCCCATCCGCCTTCTCTTGGCTTATTTCCTTACCGACCCAGGCAAGTGAGGTCCAACAAGTTGTATGCGGCAGCCCAACTAAGGGATGAAGCATTGCTTACGGGCATTTCTGCTATTGTTGTTATGTTGGCAGTGTTCTTGTCTCGCATTAAACAGCGCTGCTGTTGTTGTAATCCTCCCACGAGTTGAGCCCATTGGACCAAGAAAAATATCCGCTCGACCTCTTGCGGATCGGGGCACACCCTCATTTTTTTTTGGGGAAGGGGTAATCGATTTCCCCGCTCGAGGAACTAGCGCAAAACAAATTATGGTTTTGGTTCTTCCCCCGCTCCAAAACAACG